TAGCAAAGGGGGAAAAAAGCAGAGAGAGGAAAAGTTAAAATTTAACATTGGACATCAGGACTATTGATGCCCTGCAGTGTGTTTGGTTTCTGTTCAGTCTAGGTTTCCCTCTCTGATCAAGATATGGGTGAGGTATAGCTAATGAAAAGGTATTATTTTTTTACAATTTGAGTCCTTTTCAGTGTTTTTGTATATAAAGAATGACTATTTTAATCCTCTTGTTCTTGTTTGGGACCAATATTGAGGCTGCTACTTTTTTACACTTGGCTGCCTTGGAGCCCTCTTTTCCCACCATGGCTTGTGAGGAAGGCTTTAGGGTGTCTTCACACCAGTTCCTGACTATACACATACAGATTGACCTGTTCCTCTCCTGGAATAACTCATTTATCTTAATTTTTTTGGGTTTTTTTTTGTTTTTGTTTTTGTCTCTGATGCATTGCAAAGAAGGAGAACTGAATTAGCAGGATAATCACAGTAAGAAAAGCACAGCTGCTTCCAGAAGGCCTCAGGTGGTCCTGTGCCAAATGGCACCTTTTTGAAGAAGGCACCAAATTCAGAGAGATTTCAAACATGAAATGCTGCTCAGACCCTCAATGCCTTTGTGCAGGATTCCCCATTTCACAATGCTTGAACAGCAGTGAATCAGGGAACTGGGAAAAACCTCTTAGAGTAACACTTCAAATGACTCCTGATATGCTTCCATAATTTTGTTTTGTGGCATCCTAGGATATGTAGTTTCTGGCTTGGATGATACCTGCCTGCACTGTTGATAGATTCAATTAAGTGGAAACCATCATACTGGATCGTCAGCTGAGCGAGAGGTCCCACATGTCACACATTTTCACTCTTTAACATTTTCACAGTAGAATGTTGTTGCTAGCAGAGAAATAAAATGCCACACTACATTTATATCAAGTAATATCCTCAAATTTGCGACTTCACATCTTTCCTTGTAAATTGGAACCCAACTTCAGATGGCCATACAAGTGGACTGGGGATCTATAATGCAATGCTAACAGAAGCTCAGGGTTGCCAGCATTTTCCTGTTTCTACTCTGAAATGGCTCAACACCTGTTCAATGTGCCCACAGGCAATCATTAGGAACCAATGATGCTGCCTTTGGTTAACATTTCATTTCCTGCTAGAGCAGCACATTTCTATTAGCAACGACCTTCTAGTTAGAGAGGATGTGGTATTTATTAATTAACAAAACAAGAATAGGATACCAAGTCCCTTTGAACTGTTACTTTTTTTTAAATGAGAAGGGACTCATGAAGAGGACAGGCTTGCTAAAAAAAGAAAAAAAAATTCTCTTTATATTCATCTGAGGTTTGTTTCACATCTGGTCTTCACTGTTCCGTAGCGCTACTAATTATGATCTGTTAATTAAAAAATGAAAGTGCTGCCATTACCTGCTTGGGAGAAATGGAAACTTCTGGACCAATTACTTGCTGTGGAGTTGAATCAAGAGGTGATTTGGGTGGAGTAGAAATAATAGCTTGGGAAACAGCTGAGTGGAGACCCAGCAAAACCCCCCTGACTGCCCATCAGCCTGAGGGGACGTGTGGCAAGAAGAGCATCAGTGTCCTCCCCAGGCAGCAAAAGGTCAGGCAGGCTCAGAGGTGAAGCAGCCATCTATAATTAAATGTCTGCATGTTACAGGCCTTGATTCTTTTTGATTTTTGCCTCTTCACACTTTGTGTTTTTGCGGAACAAGCAGATAAGGCTGGGTTTGGGAAACACTTCAGCAAGTACTGCTGCTTTCAGCTGGCTCAAAGCCACATGTCCTGCCCATGACAAGGACAGACAAGGAGCCAAGGAGAGGAGGCTCCACATCACTAGTGCAGCTAAACTCTGTGGCTTCAGGTGGAAGATTCAGGCTAGGAGCATCAGAATGGCCCGTAGTCCCAGGTAAGTGTTGTGAAGGTGGTTGGGCTCACATCTAAGGACAGACCAAAACCAGATCTATGGGAGCTGCAGCCTCTGGGTGTCCCCAGAAAATGGCCATGTGCCAGAAGCACTAGGCATGGAGCATCTGGCCCTTCTTAACTGCAGCCTGCAGGCCCCTGGGGTGGCATCTTCACAAGCTGCTGGGCCAGATGGTGGAGACCTGGCTGATGCTCTGCTTCTAGCAGGGTGTGAGTGGGTGGAGGGAGGAGGAATGTCCTAAGGCATGGTGTCCCCTGGCTGCCACAATGCCTGTCCTTGGCTTGCCAGTTCCCACCAGAAGAGCTGGCTGGTGGCAGCAGATATCCTTCTGATGTACTTTAGCAGTTATCCATCTCAGTTGCCAGGTAGGAACTATGTTCTATCACTCTCTTGTCACAAAACAACTGCTCCTTGTCATATTCTATGGTTCTCTGAGCTTCCCTTTGCTGCTGTGTGTGTACAGCACAGCAGCACTTAGAAGTATCAATCCAAGCAAAGAAGGTGGGGGGGAAAAAGAGTCTAAGGAATTTGCCCCAAATTATGGAACAACACAGAGGGAGAGCCAGTGAATAAAATGCAGATGTCTGACTCTCACCTACTTGACTGCTGCCTCCTGTGGCAGTCACCTGGAGACACAGATGATTATCAACCAAAGCCTTCCTCAGCACCAACAGGACCCAAGCAGGGACCCTAGGGTGCTGCTGCACTTCTGACTGAGCAGAGAGCTGCCAGGCCAGCAGCTCAGGGCAGAGCTGCACTGTCTCCCTGCCTGCCCAACACAGCTATGCCTTCTTGATCACACCACCTGGTTCCCTCTCTCCTACTCCCTGCACTTATTTCTGACTCCTAGTACCTGCTGCAACTGCACAGGCAGCTTCATTCTATAGGACTGTTCAGCTGTGACATTCTAAATACACAGACCTTACATTTGTAAAACAGCTAGGAAATGCTGGAATAATCCAGATTATAATTATGCAAGCAAAGATCAATACTAATTCATTCTCAATCCTGCAGAAATTCTAGTCTCCACATCCAACTGCTTATCATTTTGCAACCATTGCTCTGGGCTGACATGTACCCTAAAGCTACAGCACATCAACTGAAAAATAAGGTTGTACAAAACCTGCCAGTTTCAGCTTCCATCACTGTCAAGGAACCAAACACAAAAGGCAGTTTATAGTGTGACAATCCCTGAAAACCTTAGAAATCAAAACTAGCCCTGCTCCAAAGTGTCTGAGAGTCCCAGAGCTGAACTGAAAAGTTTTGAGGTTCTTTTAATTTAATTTCTGACATGGAAGAAAATGCCCCCAAAAGATGAAGAGGGCTTTTGTGCCCATCAGAGAATTCAGCAAGAATGGAGCAGCATGATTTCTTTGGCAAGAGAAACTAGGCTGTTCACCTAATCCTGATGAGTTCACAAGAAGATAATGTGGGTTATTCAGTTGTCATCTAAGGGTACTAGGGGATATGAGTCACTTTAAGCTTTCTTCATTGTAGTGAAATAAGTGTTCCCATCTCCTGGGATAAAACTGGAGCTCAGGGTAGCCTCAGGGAGTGTGAGCTCAGCTGTTTTTTCAGAAGGCAATGTGAACTCTGCTTGTGTTCCTGAACCCTAGAAAGTCTCTTCTCACTATCCTGCAAAAAAGAGGCTGTGCTGGTTGACCTCAGACCTGCAAGATGCCTCTTCTACATGGCAGAGGTGGGTCACACCATGCCCCAAGCACTCCTGAGGCTGGAGTGACCCAGCACTGGGGCTGCCCTGCAGCCTCTCCCAGAACACACTGCCCAGGGTCACACCTGTCACCAGGAAAAACTCAAGAACAAGCTCCTGCAAGGTGAAGGTCATTCAGAATAAAGTTATAAACAAAAAGGATACCAAGTGCATTACTAATTGTGTCCCTAGCAGTGAAGTCTCTTTCTCTGCTCCAGCCCCCTGGCTGGCTCCTGACCCTATGTCCATTACTTTCTCTAATTGATCTCCCAAATGGGGAATATCTTGGAAGAGTCTCACAGGTATCATATTTTCATGTCTTTCTGTTAAACACAGCTGTGAGGGTTTTTTCTCCTCACAGCTATACAAACAGGACCTGTTCAGGTTTTTTTTCTTGAAAATAGTAACACAGAAGGTTAAGTCTTTGAATATTATACAGAAATTGCATGTGTTCACATGACAGCTGAAATTACAAAACCAAATGGCAACATTTTTATTTAAAGGTCTGCCTTTTGCCACATTACTGCACTACCTGACTTTTGAAAAATCTATGTGCAAACCCCATTATATTCTGATACTGATTATGCTGCTACATTTGTCTCAAGAGCACATATTGCAGCAAGGCTGTAACTTCTTGCTATGGGGAGCCTGTGTGCATCCACCCTATTACTTCTTGTTACTGGGATGTCAAAAAGTGGTTATGAACACATTATCTGTAGCAAAATTTAACAAACAAATCAGCCTGTGCACGCTTTCTTTTTATTTTTTTCTTTTTACTTTATTTTAAGAAAATTGGGTTTATTTTACTCAATGGTATGAAGGTAAATTATCACATCATGACTCTATAGCAATAACAACTACTATCATCTGCACTTCTGAGGTCCAGTCTGAATTCTCTCACGTCCCACATGAATGGTGTACAGGCTCAAAACACACTTAACTTGGAGCCCCAGTGATCACAGCTACACTTTGAATGCACAAAAGTTATTCTTATCCACATAAGTGACATTGTCAACAGCTTCTGAGAGGGTAATTTCAAACAAACCTCTCCTAGGTGTCCTTGTCACCTACAGCCCAGATCTTTCCAGTTAGAGACAACCTGTTAGGATGGCAAATTGCACCACTCTGATGTGATTAGGGAATGGCTGGCTGCCAAGTCACTTCTGGCTAAGAGGAAGAAGCAACTCTAAAGGATTTTGCCTCCCTGACTTTGTCAAACAGGAGTGCTGCAAAAGAGCCCTGCATCTAATTTCAAACACAGAGTATTTTCACATCTCACAAATCGCAGACTAGGACTGAAACAGGAACTGATTTCAGCTTCAAAACTGAGAGTTGTGGTGGGAATGAATGGATGTTTTACCTGTATTCATCCTGTGTAAACCGTGGGATCACTGAAGGCTGCAGGACAGCAATTTCTACAGTAGTGGTGTTGAACTTCACAGGATCCCCATCATCATACGCAATGACCACTAGCTGTGAACAAAACAGAAAATCACTCTCTTATTATAGGCAAGAACATTTTTTATCTTGAATTGCAACACTGCTTGTGTTTTCAGAGTCTCACAAGTTGAATGAGATCTTCTTTCACTGGAAATCCTGCAGTGTGTAAGAATAAAACTTAGAGGAAAAAGGTGACAGCTGTTGAACTGTCTGCTAGAAAACTTACAGAAACACAGTACACTGCAATTCAAATGCAAGTCTTCTACAGATACCTCTTCAAAACACACCACCAGGGAATTCCATTCTCCATCTAGCCACAGACAGTCCTCACAGCACTCCACAGTCAGTATCAACTTCATTATTGGCATATAGTTCAGTTCTACATTTAGGTATTTATTATTGAAACACCACGTGTAATTACTAATAAAACAAAAGGTGCTAGGTAATAATTCTGTGTTACTGAGATTAGTATCTAAAATTGTCTGATAGCAAATAAAAAAAATAACACTACCTTTCCCCCATCCCCCCCCAAAATCCTCTCTTAAAAGATCCTCTGTACATTAAAAAACAGACAAGACCAGGAGGTGTTTCTCCAAAGGGGGCCTGTTATAAATCTTTGACTTCTCTAATCTTTTTCCGTTGCTTATTTAATCTGTGCTTGTCTGCTGGGATAAATAGGTTCTCCTGTTTTCACCTTCCATTGGAAGGAAAGCTATCTGCTAGCAAAAGGATGAGACTGCAGATGGAGTAATGGACAGTTTTCCAGCTTTCCCTCTCTAAATTTGTCCTCATTTCAGAAGGTCACTAGATGGAGCAGGTCAGCACCTCATTCTAGCAAAGGGTTTTCAACTAATCTCTGTGAGTCCAAGCTATTCTCAGAAGAGGTCAGTGAAGAGACAGCTTAAAAGGAAAGAAGGCTTCTTTTTTCCCCAGCCAATATATTAGGAGCTCACCAGTGCAAGACACCATAATTTCAGAAAGTGTGAACATGTTAAAAATTAACTGGAAAAAAAATAGCAGAAAATCCAGTGAATGGCACAAGCTCAATGGTGTAGACTCAAACACCAACTCAAAGTCTCCACATTTCTGATTTCTGTGCTTCTTCCCTAAGCATCCACATTCTCTGAGAAGTAATGCTTTGCTCAATTTACCACTGGTCTGCCCTAATATAGAGCAGTCTTCATATAGAAGTGTAGCTCTGTGACTACGTGCACATCACCTGTGTGTTAAGTATCACAGCTTCAGGAAACAGCCACAGAGAAGTAAAAATCAAAAGTGCAACAGAAGAAAAGCTGCACTCTGGTGGTGTTTACCCAGAGATAATGATCTCTGAGTTTTACTTAGTTAAAAACTGAAAAGGACTCAATTTAGCACTGCCCCAAGTTCCTAAAACAGTGGCAGCATTACAATGCTGCTCAAACTCACAGTGCTGCTTGATGGGATACTCAGAAGTGGGAAACAGTGAAGCAGCTTTTTCCGCATACAGGAAAAGTAGGCAAACATACCTCTCTTTAATCCTCATTTCAAAAAGAAAGAACGGAAAGAAGAAACAAAACACACCTCAAAGACCATACTGAAGGTTGGCAGTTTCCAAGTAAAGAAATGACACATAAACCCCCAAATATTGTAGATATATTGATATATTTTGGCTTACTTAAGTTTTCATTTTAAACTACCCCCTTGCATTTATGAGGGAAGATCTGCCCCGAAGATTTTTAATAAAATCATAACCTACTCCACACTAACTGCAATTGAGACCCTTCAGGAACAGTAGCAACAGAATAGCAATTTAATTCCCCTCAGAGCCTGTGTTTTTACATGACAACTCTTGGAAATGGAAGTCCCAATGTATCCACCACCACAGTAACTTTCTTTACAAAATATTTCACCGTTCTTGCAAAGTTCTCACAAAACTGCTGCACTGACAGCCCTGCTGAAAACAGATCAGGCACTTTCAATAAAATGGAGTTTCCTTCAGCTGCCTTCCTGCTTCCTCTAACAGCAGCAATCACATCTATGACAGACATTTCTGAAATCAAAAAGGCACAAAACATGGCCAGGAAGAAATGAAGGAAGTAAAGAAACCAACAGGATAAAAACGTCATATCTTTTTAAACCATATAAAGCAATACAGGGAAACACAGAAGTAAAAGGAATGTCATCAAACACAGGCAGCATTTCCTGACCACACACAGCTCTAGGAGTTCATACCTTAAACACTGTGCTTGGCTGCTCATTCAGGTTCACCCGGGTTACTACACGGCCTGAGTCTTCCTCCACGTCAAAAATGCTGGCGCTGTAAGGGAACTGGGCCACATCCACCTTGTACCGGACCCGACTGGCTGGTGTGTCCTGCCAAGAGAGAACAGAGCAACTTGCACACCTTGGTGTTTTCACACATCTCATTGAGTTAGTAAAGGACACGGGTGTTCATCATCATCAGATCGCCACGAACAGATCTTGCTGTTTGCCTTCCTCATGATTTGGTTTGTTACCCTCTCACCTCCCCCCCAAAAAACACCTTATAGGGACATCTGGGAGGTCCAGTAAGAAAAATGATCAGAGGCTTGGAAAGAAGAGAGCTGAAAAACCCATCTACTTAAATACAGACAGAGCAGGGGTCTGGCCTATAACTTCTGATGGTTTTGAACAACAGAAGATGGGTATGGCTTAAGGCTGGTTAATACCCCTTGCAACAATCCTTTAACATGTTATACAAACTCCTTTGAAGTTCAAGAAACTTCTACATGCTCTGAAAACTCCAACACTTACATAGCTTCTCCTGACAGATGCACTACCCTGCTGCTGAAAATGGGAAGTTGTGTGTTATGTTCTTTTCTGAAACATCAGACCATAGGTCTGTGTACAGGACAGTCCAGCCTATGTGACATTCACACTCTTTCAGAGGAAGCTACATGGAAACAGCTCTGTGTAGCTTATGCAAACCTGTCGTGGATCCTAAAGGGACTTTTCCACATACAAACCAAACAGCAGAACCTGAAGGACCTGGCTCTTAGGGACATGGTTTAGTGGTGAGCTTGCAATGTTAGGTCTAAGGTTGGACTGGACGATCTTGGAGGTCTCTTTCAGCCAATAACATTCTGTGATTGTTTTATTTTTCACCAAAGCTGAGTGATGAAGAACTGAGACGTTTAAAAATCCTCATCTCTACAGAATAAACCACATGAGATTACAGGGCCTGCAGACTTCCAAACATATTCCAGCACGTGTTCCTTCTGTGGCTGAACTGAGCAGGTCCAGCAGTGTTGGCACAACTACCCAAAAGCTTCCATCCCTGCTGTCCTCACCGAAGAGGTGAGCCTGCTCTGCAGGGCTGAGATGGTCACAAGTCCTTAGGTGAAGCACTGGGGTGCCTGTGGCCCTCCTCACCAAGTTTCTGCCTCTCGAGCAGGAGGCTGAGCATCACCAGTGCCACCTGCTCTCATCACCAGAGCTGGCTCTCAGCTGGGTGTCAGAAAACAACCAGGATGACACATCATCTGTCATCTCAGTGCTAACAGAAAATGCAGTTTGGTTAACTGATTTTAAATAGCCCTGAGAGGAATCCTCCCACTGTTCAAGCCCTCTTCCAATGACAAGAAACAAGCACAAGCAGTCCATGCATGTGTTACAAGCTGTCTATATGCATTTGCAGAAGAAATAAACCAAATTAAAAGGGGAATCAGAAGCAGCATTGCCAGAGGGTACAAGAGATTAATTTTTCAGATCAGCAACTCCATATTTTCTAAATAGAAGACTATTTACCTGCTTTAACTGTACTTAACTGCCTAAATAAATAACATCTATTGTGAAAAATTAAGTTTCTTAAAGTATTCACCACGTTCCAGTGATCCCATTCCAGCAGTCACCCTCCAGAGACCCTCAGAGGATGTGGAGTATCACCATGCCTGTGAGAACATAAGAGGCAGCTCCTGCTGACCTGTGTGACTTATTAAGTCCCAGAAAGCACAATGGGTGACGATGCTTGTCCATGGGATCTCCAAACTCCCACCACTCCCTCCTAGCACACCAGTAGCAGCAGGAGGGCTCCTGGCACCCATCTACTTTAAAAGCAGCAGACACTTCTGGCAGGAATCACCCAGCCTCTTTTTGGATGAGATGCATTGTACATCAGCTGGTTACAGAGGGTATCTGGGAGGCATTAAAATGTAACAGGTCACTTCCCTCCTCAGCAAGTGCGCCTTCACTAGTACTGACAGAAATCCACTGTTTTCAAAGCTTAAAAGGTGACATAGCAGCAGGTTACTAAATCAGAGAAGCCAGCAGGTTCTAGGTACTGTAAGAAAATATAAATGAGAAGCTGTAAGAAAAAGGAAAATAAGGCAAAGAAGGGTTTGCGAGTTTCTTTTTCAGACACTGATGTCTGGATAACTGTATTTCAGAAGAGAAAAGGCTATGTTACTTGGATACATAGACAGGACATTTCACAAAATGACACCAGATTATTTGCTACATATATTTGGGACTAGATTCAGGGAAACACTAAGAAACTCAGCCCCTATCATTGGCATGATGTCAGTTTCTTCACGCCTGAGGAGTCTAGATCTCACATTAGGTTTTGACCTTTATTTTGTATTTAAGTAGACAAGATACTAGAGCCCACAGTTTCATTAAAAGCAAATTGCTAATTTTCCACTGTACTCAAAGATCTGGCGCAAAGCAGCTTTGTTGTGCTGAGAATACAGTCAATGTACCACACCAGCTCCCAACTGCAAGGGAATAGGAAAGCCACTTTAGTAAACAGCAACAGAAACAGCTGCAAAAGTGGCTTGAGCTCTCTAAATCATACCAGCATTTTGTTGATGCAACAGAAGTGCACTAAAATGCTCAGTTAAAATATTAATCTATTCTAAAAGCTTTACTGGAATGAGTTGGCACAGGTATTTTGCATCATGTTAACACATGCTGCAGAGCAGCAGAACGTGGTTTTTGCAAAGTTAACTACTGAGGAGTAGTAGGACTCTTGATGGATAAACCAGACATCAAGGGGCTCCAGGAAAGCTGGGGAAGGACTTTTTACAGGGGTATGGAGTGACAAGAGAAGGGAGAAGAATTTCAAGATTAAAGAGGTTAGGATTTAGATGTGATATTAGGAAGAAATTCTTTGCTGTGAGGGTGGTGAGACCCTGGCCCAGGTTGCCCAGGGAAGCTGTGGCTGCCCCATCCCTGGCAGTGTTGAAGGGCAGGTTGGATGGGGCTTGGAGCAGCCTGGGCTGGTGGGAGGTGTCCCTGCCTGTGCAGGAAAGGGTGGATCTAGATGATCTTTAAGGTCCCTTCCAACCCAAACCAGTCTGGGATTCTACAAAAAGTGGCCCTTCAGTGAAGAATATCTATTTGAATTAAAAGACTATAGAGAGCTTGTAAGAATTTAATGGATAGTGTCAATTTTAGAGCTGTCAGAAGCACAAGGACACCTAAGTGTAACACTAAGGCCACAGGACAAGGCAGCCAGACCACCTAAGCCCTTCTCCTTGTAAAATTGTGCACTTTACACCTTGTAATTACAGAGGAGTGAGACTGGGATGGATGCAACTGAGACATTAACGGACCTTCAGAGAATCACTGACTGGTTTAGGTGGGATGAGACAATAAGTATCATCCAGTCCCACCCGCTGCATGGGCAGAGACACCTCCCACCAGCCCAGGCTGCTCCAAGTTCCATCCAACCTGCCCTTCAACACTGCCAGGGATGGGGCAGCCACAGCTTCTCTGGGCAGCCTGGGCCAGTGTCTCACCACCCTCACAGGGAAGAATTTCCTCCTATTGTCTAGTTTAAATTTAACCTCTCTCAGTTTGAAACCATTCCCCCTCATCCCATTACCCCATGTCCTTGTCAAAAGTCTCTCCCCAGCTTTCCTGAAGGTCTCCCCAAAGCCTTCTCTCCTCCAGGTTGAACACCCCCAACTCTCAGCCTGT